CACGCCCTCGCCCCGCTCTTCCTTGCATCTCAATCTGGCTACATGGTCGTGCCGCGACGCATGGGCGATGTTAGATGGCAATGACCGCTGGTGCCAATCGCCTGCCGTTCCCTTGCATTGTATCACGCGTGCGCCCTCGGGTAGCGACAAAACACATAAAACAATTTCAGTGCACTGGCATCGACTGCTTGTACTCATGGTATCGCACTGGCATCGCGATGGCATCGCGATGACGTCGGCGATGACATCGGCGATGACATCGGCGATGACGTCGGGTGGGCCTGGGCACACGCGCAATGCCGTCACGATCGCAACGCAGAAATCGAATGATGATGACGCAACACCCCCACGGCATCACATTACATTGCACGGCATCAGCATGTCGCGACCCCCGCGGTCTGAAGAGGAAGTTTCAGGCGGGAGCAACTTCCGTACTAGACGGCATACGACTGTTGCGTTAGCGATTCAAGACGGGTGCCAACCATTCTCAAGAGCGACAGCACGCACGATAGGACCAACTCATTATGAGATGTACAACGTTACATCGGGCAGCCCGTGACATACATGCGCTGTGTCGTTCGTCCTGGTACCTGGAGCTAAGGTCGCACACCCGTCCTCATAGCCCTCTTCTGGTTCATCTTCCTCCCTCGTTCCCCCAATAATTTCTAACGCTGGGGTCCAGATGCGCGGACGTATGCTTCATGACCTCGTGCTCGCGCGTTCTTCCTCCGTCTCATCCTTCTCTTATTTGTCCTCCTCCGCCAGTTCCTCCTCCCGCTTCCATCCCCCCTGCTCCTCCTCCGCCTCCTCCACGCCCTCCTCGCACCCCTCCTCCTGCGAGCGCTGCCCCCCGCAGAGCCCATCTCCCGAACCTGTGGCAGCCTGCAGCCGCGACGGACCAGGAGCGATATCGTCTTCGGGCACCGACCATGGGTCTCTGGAGGAGTCAGAGTCACAGGAGGCCCCAGACTCCGATAGCGGCGAGTCCCACTTAGCCTTTCCGCGGGACGTGGCAAGGTCCGAGACGCAATGTGCGTCGAATGCGGCCGAGATTGTCGCTGCGATGGCGCAGCAGGCCTCGGCGATGCAGATCCCCCCCCCCCATCGCCCCTCGCCCTTCCAAGGAGGAGGATGAGGAGGAGCGAGAGGAGGAGGAGGAGGAGGGGGAGGAGGGGGGGGAGGAAGAGGAGGAGGAGGAAGGGAGAAAGAGAAGGAGGAGGGGGAGGAGGAGGAAGAGGAGGGACGGGAGGAGGATAAAGAGGAGGAGGAGGACGAGGAGGAAGATGATGATGAGGAGGAGGAGGGGGAGATCCAGAGGCTGCCGTGAGCGAGGCCTACGGACTCATAATGATGGCGAACACAAGCAAAACAATGTCGGAGAGTGTGGTCGACACCATCATTATTTAACATTTCCGTTCGGCCAACAAGGCCTGGTTTGCTTGGAAACCACTGCCGCAATCGATGATGTTTGCGTTCGCGCTTGTCGCGCACACCGGCCCCACCCTGCCACCGTGACCATGTGTCCACCAGAACGCGGGCTTCCAGAAGTCCCGATTTCACGGTGGGACGGGGGCGGGATGAGGGCATAAGATCGGGGGATAGGCGTTGACATAACATCTGCGATTGCGCTCGTGGTCAACAGGGGCACCGTGCGAACCGCGTGAGGAGCCCTGAGGAGACGGCGACCGAAGCCTTCTTTCAGTGAGCTGGCCGTTTCATTTAGGCTACGTGGTCTTCCCCCAGCAAAACACTTACTGGGACAGACTCGGTGCCCGGCCTGTTGCGTTGGAGCCCTTGCCACCCTAAACATATAGTTTAAGTGGCGAGGAGCTTGAAGTCATGATTGGTTGATTCGGCCGTGACAAAATGCGATGAGGAATGTGCTGCCGAGCACAAAAACCAGAAATATGAACAGCAGGAGGGAGGAGGAGGAATGGATGAGAAGGAAGGGAGGGGGAGGACAGGAAAGAGGGAGGAGGAGGAAGAGAAGGAGGAGGAGGAGAAAAAGGAACTCATGGAGAAGGAAGAAAACACATAAACACAGGGACATGAAGGAAACGAAACCTGGAGGGAACAACGGAGCGTACCCGCGCGTTTAACTGGCCGTCCTCTGACAAACGTAATTGTCAAACTCGCGTAGCAGGTCAGCGGATGGTGGGGCAGCTCTTTTGCAAAATGAGGCTCCCTAGCGAATTCCAGCTCAATTGGTTTAGGAATCGTTCCCTCTGGTGCACCCAGCGTTCCTTCTTATCTCCCCCCCGTCTCCTCCTTCACCCGCCTCATCGGTTGCGATTTTGGCTCAAACCTTATCGGCGCAACGCAAACGACCGAATGTATCGGTACGCGCGTTGCGTCAGCGCTGCGATCTTGCGTTTTTTTTTATTTTTGTTCTTTCTTTTTTGTTTTTTGTGTGTTATTTTTCTTCCTTTTTTCAGCGCTGCGATCTTGCGTCGATCAAAGCCCCGGACGTTGCGGGGTTATAGCGTTGCTCACGGAGCACGGCGCAACGCAACATTAACAATGGCTGTTACGCTGTAGCAGCAAAGCGCGGGATAGAATTGGCAAATCAAAAAAACAAGACATTTTTGGGATTACGAAATTGTCCTCATTCTCTGACATGATCTTGGGACTGGAAAGCGATCCTTCCAGACCTCAGGGTACCTGCTAGAGCACTTACAGAAGAATGTTATGCGACAGCCAGTCGTCGGGCACTACATGGAGGAGTATTTCGCGAAGCTCCGCCGCAGGCGCGGCGAGGGCATGGCCGAGTACTGTCTTCGAGCGCACGAGAGCTATCAGCGTCTTCGAGTGGCTCTAGCCAGGATGGCCCGGAATAGTGGCATGGACAAACTCATCCTGGACGCGCCGAATACCCAGGCAGCTTCATTCAGTCAGTGGCCGACGGGCGGCCAAACTAGTCCAGGTGGTGCTTCATGGCACCGCATCGAGAGTGAAGAGGGCACTCCCGAGGGCGGTGAGGAAGCCCCTGAAGTGCGAGACTGGCAAGTTCCCGAAGCTCAGCGGCGCGGACAGGCGTGGAGTGGTGACCACAGATGGCAAGACGGGTGGCGTAACAATGGATGGCAGAACTGGGATACATATCCGTGGGCCCATGGCGGGGCCAGAGGCAGCAGCTTATGTTCTTTCCCCACCCATGACTTGCCGGAGGTGCCACCGAGTGTGATCAGAGGATGGTGCTTATTACATCGCGCCAGCCTGGACGGCGGTGAGATAGCTGCAGTGATCGGATCGTGTCGCGGTGATTTCACAGTGGATAACGTTGAGAGCGCTCTCAGGACCCAGTGGCCCAGTGACGAGAACCTGAAGGACAGAGACTACAGGAAGTCGAAGTTCATTCGACAGCAGGTGGCCGCGGCGGCGTTCTACGGGGACGACGCTCAGACCTGGGGCGACGGCGACGAGAGGGACAGTGCCCTGGCCACGGCGTCGACCATGGAAGGCGAGGAAGAAGGCATCGACGACGAGGCCTACGCGACAGCGATCACTGAAGAAGAGGAGGCACATGCCCAGTTCCAGGCTAGCCAGAGAAGGCTTCAGGATGCACGTCAGCAGATCAACAAGCACCGTACCGGCAGGAAGTTCTTCGGCTCTGGAGGAGGCCAGCGCATCGACGGTCGTCAGGGCCCGTGCCTCAAGTGCGGAGGTGCCCACCGCACTGGGAGCTGTCCAGACAGGGTGGACCCCAAGTTGGGCCGGGGCCGCCCGGCACCTGGCCGGGGCGGCGGCGACGGCAGCGGCAAGCTCCATGGCTTCATTTTGATGGCGGAGTACGACGGTCCCTCAGAGGACGAGACCGAGCTGCAGGTAGAGGAGCTCGGCAATGAGGTGGACTTCGACGACCCAGGGGTCAGGATGGCTTACATCGTCGAGCGAGCTACCGAGAACGGGCGCGGCATCATGGACAGCGGGGCGACGAAGACCAGTGGCGGCATCGAGGCGGTGGAGACTCGCAACGAGATCCTGATTTCCAGGGGCCATCCGCCGATGGAGGTTGATCTGCAGGACCGGCCCGTATACAAGTTCGGCAACGGCGAGGTGAAGCGTGTCCTGTGCCGCGTCAAGTTTACGCTCCTGGTGCAGGGAGAATGCGCGTCGTTTTTTGTGCACGCGATTGACGCGAGAGGTATTCCTATCCTAGTGTCAATCGAGACTCTGAACAATTTGGGGGCCATCGTGGATTTCGAGGCGGCCTGCGGGATCTTCAAGAAGATCGACCAGTCCAGGATGGTCTCGTTCCCCAGGTCCCGCACTGGCCACTCCCTGATCGACCTGACGTGCGACTTGCTGGGCGACACGGCGATCCTCGAGAGGCCGGCAGATTGCATTCTGAGTCGGGGAGTGGCGGCACTTGCAGACAAGCCTGCTGGGATTCAGGCAGGCGAGGGGGCGCCTGAGCCTGGTGCGCCATACATCCCCCCCTCCTCATCGTCATCACCCCTGGCGTTGGCTGGCATCTATCACTGACAGCGGTGATGGCTCAAAGGTACTCTCAGGCCCCACAGGGGCACCATGTGCATCCTCCGGGCCTTGCAGGGCATTGACGGGAGCTCCGAGTAAGACTCCGAGGTTCTCATGTCCATCTACTAGCTCACAGAGTACCTCTACGGGATCTCCAATAGGATCTGCGAGTCCACAGAGTAGGTCTACGGGATCACAGAGTAGGTCGACGGGACCACAGGGTACCTCTACGGGATCTCTTGGAGACTCCACAGGTCCGCAGAGTAGGTCCACGAGTTCAGGGGAGTCCGGACGTTTCAGAGAACCTCACCAAGATGTCTTGGGATATCAGGCATTCAGAGGGCCTCCTCGGGGTCCCGAAGCAGAAGATTTGGCCCTACGGAAGGCCGATGCCAAACTGAATCCAACATGGTCAACAATTCTACAGTCCCGGAGTGCGAAGGCTCAAGCGTCAGCTTTCGCGGGTATCCTGCAGACTACTGACGCCCGATCATATGTCCCAACACCCAGCCACGTCGGGCATGCGCAAGGCAGAGCTTCACACAGAGTTGGCGCTATGGGACGAGGACGGCACTCTCATGACGTGCGAGATGCTGCGGGCCCGGCTGCGTCAGATCTACAAGGCGATGCCAGTCGGGGGTGCGCCCGCGCGCCACAAGAAGAAGGCAGAGCTTGTCGAGGATGCGATTGCCACGGGCTGCGTCCTGACGGGCAAGGAGACCCGTGGAGACCTTCAGATCTTGATCACCGAGAAGCACGAGCAGTCCCTGGTGATGGTCAAGTGCTCCGACCCGATGCCGTTCGGCCGCCACCGGACTTTAAGCATTCAGGAACTACTGGAGAAGGAGCGGGAGCACACCGGGTGGCTGGTGAGCATGGGCAATCCGCGTTTCAAGCGTCTCACCGATTGACTGGTCATGAAGGGGATCAAGCCCGAGGACATGATGAACAAGCTCGAGCTGCCACAGCCCAGGGTGAAGGGGGAGAAGCTCGAGAAGACGGAGGGCCCGTGGCTGCTGGTCAAGGATCAGCCGCGTCAGCGTTCGACGGTGAAGCGCTCCATGGCGGAGGAGACTGCCGCGGTGGATCTTGGGAAGTCCAAGGAGGAGCAGATCATCGACCTACTTGGGGACATGAAGATGGCCATGAACGCGCTCACGACCAGGGTGCAGAAGGTGGAGGAGACGAGCCCAGCGCCGAGCGGCCCGCCTGGGCCGGCCGCGCAGGGCCACTGAGGAATCTCACGGACTCTCAGGCTACCTGGCTGGCGGGGTGCTTGGACGAGAGTGCAACGCCAGCGTGGACGTTCCTGACCGGGGCTGCGAGAGTGAAGCTAATGGAGGTCTGCTGCTCACCAGCGTCGGGGCTATCTCAATTCGTGACGCAGGAGTCGGGAGCGGACAGTGCAGGTCGAATTAGTGGCTGGAATGGTTTTGATTTATCCACCACTGCTGGCCTGCAGAAGGCCAGAGCTGAGCGAGAGCGAGTGCGCCCCGAGCACATGTGGTTCTCTTTACCTTGTGGGCCATGGTCAGGCAATAACAATTTCAATCGTCACAAGCCAGAGGTCTGGGAGCAGATTCTTTCCAATCGGAAGAAGTCCAAACGCCTCATCAGGAACTGCTTGATTCTCGTCATGGAACAGGTAGCAGACAGGGGTCACGTACACTGGGAGCGGCCGAAGGATCTGCAACCGTATCGGTGGCCGGAGTTGAAGCAGGTATTCAAGGAATGCGACATGCGTCCAGTGATCTGTGACGGCTGAATTCTGGGCGTCAAAGCCAGGGATACGGGTTTGCCGATGGTCAAGCCCTGGGAGATCTGGACCACCTCCGACTGCCTGTGCCAGAGGATGGCTATCAGGTGCGATGGACGTCATGAGCACAGTCCTTGCGTCGGCGGCGCAAGGACGGCGGCCACGGCGTACTACCCAGACGGTTTCGTCAGGAGGGCGGCCAAGGCCATGCTGGACGAGCCGAAGATGGAGGATATCTGCAACCTCGCGCACGAGCTCGGGACCGCGGACGAGGAGGCTGACACAGTCTACGCAGTGAGTGCCTCCAAGACAGGGCTCGACTCCGATGAGCTTCGGAAGGTGGAGATAGCGGCCCGACGGATCCACGCCGTTTGCGGACACTGCCCGTTCGTCCAGGTCGCCAGGTCATTGGCAGCTCGAGGGGCTGATAAGAGGGTCGTGGACCACGTGAGGGAGATGCGGTGCCCGGCCTGTGACGAGAGCCAGAAGCACGGACCACCGCGTCCAGTCGGCGCGGTGGATGAAGTGCCGAAGAAGTGGGCAATTTTGCAGAGCGACCTGGCTGAGTGGGGGGATCCGGGCAGCCACGAGAAGTATAAGTTAGCACTGTACCTTGACCAGGGTTCGAAGCTTGGGGTCGGACACGTTCTGTTCAGATTGGTCAAGAGCAAGAATGCGACCGTGGAGGAATTGAAGGACTCGCTCTGGGGCAGGTGGATCGCCTATTTCGGACGTCCGAGGACATTTCAGGTCGATCCAGAGGGCGCTTGGATGAGCAATATCATCCGGGAAAGCCTGGAGCCCAGCGGCATCCAGATGGACCCCATCCCCGGGCAGGCGCACTGGCAGCTTGGCGGCATCGAGCGGCTCATCAGCCTCATCAAGGATATGATGACGGTCCTGGCGCGTGAGCGCCCGGGAAGGTCTTGCGAAGAATACCTGGCGCGGGCGATGGCAGCATATAACGAGTTCGACCGGCACCGTGGCTTCTCACCGCTACAGGTGGCACTTGGACGAGCACCAGACCGCGACGGGTTCTTCATGGACGCGCCGGGCGACCCAGTCAACTTTACTGCGCTGGAGTCGGAGGCGGTGGACGCAGCTTTCGGAGAGAACTTCAAGTTCATGCGGCAGGCCCAGGAGGCGATGCTCAGGTGGGTCTACGCTGAACGTGCTAGTCACGCTAGGTCGCGGAAGCTGAAGGTATACACTGCGGGTACAGTGGTGTATTATTTCAGGAACCCGAAGAGCTGCTCCATGACGGGCAGGTTCTATGGTCCCGCCCGAGTTCTGGCCACCGAGACGGTTCACAGGGACGGGAAAGTTCAACCTCGACCGCGCGTGTGGCTGAATGCGTGTGGCCGCCTCATTCGTTGTGATCCATGTCAGCTCCGTGACGCATCTGATCGAGAGGTGGCGGAACACGAGATCATTCATGGCACCGAGATGCCGTGGATTTTCAACAGCATGAGCCAGGGACTCAGAGCGGGTCAGTATGAGGACCTCGCCGACGATCCGCGCCTGATCCCGAGTGACACAGAGTTTGTGGATGCAGGAGATGTTCCACCACTGCCGACGATGTCGCCAGCGCCAGATGAGCCTAGGAGACGGCAAGCGGTTACCGACGGAGCCTCACATCTCATCCAAGCAGCCGCGAGTTGGGTCATCGGCAGCGAGTTCATCAGTTTCGGCCCCTCGGAGCGCGGCGTTGGAGACAGCCATGTATCCGGCGACCCCTGCCAGGCCGCCGAATAAATTTCGAACGACCCCATCGAGACCCTCACCGCATGCTTGGGACGGCCTTCCACCAGCGGCGGCGGCTGGAGGAGACCACTACGGGAAGGAGCGACCGAATAAACAGAAGCGACACGACCAGACTGAGGAGCAGGACCTGACCGCGGAGGTCCAGCCGTTCGAGTGTTTCTGGAACAGGGAGGGCCGAGCGATAGAGGTGGAAATCGGTTTTCCCGAAGGTGCCCGAGGTGGTGTTGCCGCTCGTGACCTGCAGGTGTTCGCGGCTACTCAACTGCGACGCCAGCGTGCGGAGGTTCGAGAACGGACACTGTCGGTCGTTGACCTGGAGAAGTTCCGGAAGGCAAAGACGAAGGAGGCGCAAGAGTGGATCAAAGAGATGGTCTTGGAAGGTCTGCCGAGCCATGTCACGGCCCCCAGCGACCGACTGATGCGCCTCAGGTGGGCTTTGACGTGGAAGATTGATCCCGTAGAACCAGGGGGTCGACGTGCGAAGGCGCGGCTGGTGATTCTCGGCTTCCAGGACCCTGACCTCACCACGGAGGAGTCGCACGCGCCGACAGCGACTCGCACTGCCCGACAGGTGTTCTTGCAGAAGGCGGCGAACCTGACGATGCGGGTGGCCAAGGGTGACGTGAAGTCCGCCTTCCTTCAGGGTGAGGAGCTCGACCAGGACCTGCTCGTCAAGCCCACCGGCGAGATCGCGGAGATGCTGGGACTTCGCTCAGGCCAGGCTGCTATCCTGAAGAAGTCGGCGTGCGGTCTGGCGCAGGCACCTCGAGCATGGCACCAGGCGGTGAACCGCAAGCTGAAGGAGCTGGGCTGGCGGCAGCTCGAGTCCGACCCATGTGTGTGGATCCTGACGGGTCCTCAGACAGCCGGGGGATCTGACTACATCGTGGCCATTGTTTTGTCTCATGTGGATGATTTCCTGTTCGCCGGCCGTGGAGCGGACGAGATCTGGCAGCAGGCGCGACGTCAGGTGATGGAGGCGTTCCGGTGGACCGAGTGGGAGTACGACACTTTCACGCAGTGCGGCGTCGACATCACCCAGAGGTCCGACTTCGGTTTCACGCTGAGCCAGGCGACCTACACGGAGCAGAGCGAGGAGATAGAAGTACCAATTGAACGACGAAGGCAATTCTCAGCGCAGATGACGAACGCCGAGAAGAGCCAATTCAGGGCCGCCACAGGGAGCCTGCAATGGAAGGGCACCCAGACCGGGCCCGACATCCTGGCGGAGTTGAGCCTGCTACAGAGCAAGACGGAGTCGTGCACCGTGGACGATCTTCTGAATGTCAACAAGCTGATCAAGCGGGCCAAGGAGACAAAGAACAGGGTGCTGGAGATATTTCCATTTGTGGACAGCGAGCTGGCAGTTGTCGGCTGGGGCGACGCGGCGTTCAGCAACCGCGTGGATGGCAAGTCGACTGAGGGCCGCATAGTCGGAATCGTGCCGTTGTGCTTCTTGTCCGGCGAGGAGACAGGAGTTTCCCAGATCAGTTGGAGGTCAGGCAAAGTCGAGCGCACGTGTCGGTCCCCGCCAGCAGCCGAGGTATCAGCCACAGTCAACACAGAGGACGAAGTAATGTATGTAAGATTTCTTCTGGCAGAACTCTCAGGATGAAAAACCCAATCTTAGGGGCCCATGGGCCCAGGTTCGAAGGATTCCCGGATGCCTGGTCACCGACTCCAAGAACCTGTATGATCGTCTACGCTGTCCAGAGATGTTCATGGGAGGCAAGGAGTTCCAGACTGGACTTGAGTTGTTTGCTCTGAGGGACGGGATACTAGCTTGTGAGTGTCCTGTACGCTGGGTACACAGCGATGCAATGATAGCTAACAGTCTCACGAAGGGCCATGAACGATGGCAACTAGAGTTGTTTTTCAGTAACAAGTGTAGGTGGCGTCTTGTTCACGATCAAACAGTTGAGTCTGCTAAGAAGCGCAAGGGCCTAGGCGTCCAGGCGCCAGAGAATGTGACTTGTCTTGATTTCAGGCCCGACCTCTGGGGTGATGTGGCAGATCCCGTGGGCAAGTGACCCACGCATGTTTCAGGCCTGTCGCTTCAACTCTGGACTTTGAGCGAACATGTTTTTGGACCTGTGTCCATTTCTCTCGGTTCGCCCTGGTGGGCAGTCATTCGCTCTGTCCATAGCCATTTGGGCTACAGGCCTTCAGTGGGGCCACGGGAGCCCCCCCGGAGGTAAGCTCGCCTTTCCTTTCCTATTCAATATTGAGCCCAATACCACCACTCCATATCACACATCCTACCTCTCCTAGCTCAGCAGTGCGTGCGTGATTGAGAAGGTGCCAGAGGTGCACCTCGTGGAGACCATCATCGAGAACGACCGCTGGCCGAGCGTGGAAAAGGAGCGCGCCCTGTGAAGCTTCGCTTCACACAGGGGGGGGGGGGGGGCAGTCTCGAGAAACTCTTGCGCAGCCTGGAAACTGACGACGCGAGAGTTTCTCGAAATTCCCGCGGGGTGGGGCTGCGCGCGCGCGTGCGTGCGCGTGTGTGCGCGTGTGTCGGCGTTTGGTGGCGGAGGGCGGGGGGGGGGGGGGGAATTTCGAAAAACACAACCGCAGCCCATAAAGTGGCGACGCGCGAGTTTCCAGCAATTCTCAGTTGGGGGCGGGAGGGGCGGGGGTGGCGGTTTGTGTGTGGGCGTGGGTGCGTGTGTGTTTGTGTGTGTGTGTGTGTGTGTGTGTGTGTGTGTGTGTGTGTGTGTGTGTGTGTGTGTGTGTGTGTGTGTGTGTGGTGTGTGTGTCGTGTGTGTGTGTGTGTGCGTGCGTGCGTGCGTGCGTGCGTGCGTGCGTTTGCGTGCGTGCGTGTGTGTGTGTGTGTGTGTGTGTGCGCGTGCGCGTGCGCGTGCGTGTCGCGTGTGGTGTGAGTTGTGCGTGTGGTGTGTGTGTGTGTGTGTGTGTGTGTGTGTGTGTGTGTGCGTGGTTGCGTGCGTGCGTTGCGTGCTGCGTGCGTGTGTGTGTGTGTTGTTTTGCGCGCGCGCGCTGGTGGTGCGCGGTGCGCGCTGGGGGGGGGGGGGGGGGGGGGGGAATTTCGAGAAACTCCTGCGCGGCCTGGAGACTGAGGACGCGGGAGTTCCTTGGATTTTCCGCGGGGGGGGGGGGGGGGGGGGGGGGGCTGTGTTTGCGTGTATGTGTGTGTGTTGTGCTTGTGTGTGTTAGTGGTCGTGTGTGTGTGTGTGTGTGTGTGTTTGTGTGTGTGTGTGTGTGTGGTTGTGCGTGCGTTGTGCGTGCGTGCGTGCGTGCGTGTGTGTGTGTGTTGTGTGTTCGTGTGTGTGCGTGCGTGCGTGCGTGCGTGCGTGCGTGTGTGTGTGTGTGTGTGTCGTGTTGTGTGCGTGTGTGCGCGTGTGTGCGTCGTGCGTTGTGTGCGTGTGTGTCGTTGTGCGTGTGCGTGTGTGCGTGTTCAGTGTGCGTGTGCGTTTGTGCGTGTGCGCGTGCGCGTGTGCGCGTGCGCGTGCGCGTGCGTCGGCGCCTGGTGGCGGAGGGGGGGGGGGGGGAATTTCGAGAAACTCATCCGCAGCCCGGGAAGTGACGACGCGGGAGTTTCCCGAAATTCTCAGCTGGGGGGCGGGAGGGGCGGCGCAAGTTCGAGAAACTCTTGCGCGGCCTGGAGACTGAGGACGCGGGAGTTTCTTGGAATTCCCGCGGGAGGGGGGGGGGCGGTGTGTTTGTGTGTGTGTGTGTGTGTGTTTGTGTGTGTGTGTGTTTGTGTGTGTGTGTTTGTGTGTGTGTGTGTGTTTGTGTTTGTGTTTGTGTGTGTGCGTGCGTGCGTGCGTGCGTGCGTGCGTGCGTGTGTGTGCGTGTGTGCGTGTGTGCGTGTGTGCGTGTGCGTGTGCGTGTGCGTGTGCGTGTGCGTGTGCGTGTGCGTGTGCGCGTGCGTGTGCGCGTGCGCGTGCGCGTCTGCGTTTGCGCGCGCGCGTGCGTCGGCGCTCGGTGGCGGAGGGGGGGGGGAATTCCGAGAGACTCCTCCGCAGCCCGGGAAGTGACGACGCGAGAGTTTCCCGAAATTCTCAGCTGGGGGGCGGGAGGGGCGGCGCAAGTTCGAGAATCATCCTCCGTGGTTTTGAAATTGACGACGCAGGAGTTTCTCGGATTTCCCCGCTGGGTGGGCGGCGGATTTGGGGGGGAGGGCGGGTCTTGGTCGCGGCCTCAATGGGCCTCCAAGGGGCTCCTGTGGCCTCCTGGAGCTTCCTGTGTTCCCCTGGGGCCTCCAGGAGCTCCCTGAAGCTTCCCGGACAATCCGTGGGCGTCCCAGGGCTTCCTGGGGCCTCATGGCCCTGGTTATTTGCTTTCTCGCCCTTTCACTCCATGATGGGCCGAAAAGCGCCCCGAGAGGGCCCCGCGAGCACCCAAGAGCGCCCTAAGAGCGCCCGAAGAGTAGATTTTATGTGCTACCGAGGAGGGGCATCGTCAATTATAACACCCCTTGCTTGACCGATCTTCTCCAATATTGCCCCGTAAGGGCCCCCGAGGCTTCGAGCACTGCCCTGAGAGAGCCCCAGATAGGGCCTCCAGAGCGCCCGCCAACGGCCCCAGGAGCTCCCAAGAGCGCCTCCAAACACTCCAGCAGGATTTCAGATGTCAACCTCTCGGGGTCCATTCGGGGGCGCTGTTGGGGAACCCGCTTTTTTATGACCGATGTTATCCAAGATGGCCGCGAAGGCCTCCGCCAGGCTTCCAAGATGGAGTCGAACGTCGCACAACATGGCTCTCATATGGCTCCCAAAGGGCTTTAGAGATTCAAAGCGTTGCCTCAAACGTCCCTTCTTCTCCTATCCCTTCTCTGCGTCTGGACGGGGCGCCCCGAGAGGTGTCGCAGGGTCCTTTTTGACCCAGCGTGGCTCCAAGAGGGCCCGAGATGCTGCAAGATGGCCTCCAAGATGGCCCACGATCCGCCACCGTGCCCCCGGCGCGTTGAGGCGTGCTAGAATGCCATGTGCTGTCTGGCAGGGTTGCTGTAATCTTCCAAGGGGCCCCCTCCCGGTCGCACGCGTCTGCGCGCATCGCCCCCTCTTCCCGAGGCTCTGTCGGCGCCAAGACACGTCCCTGGCGCTCTCCAAGACGTACCAAATCCCCAAGATGGCTTCCACGACGGACCTGGGAGGCCACCAAAGCCGCCAAGATGGCCCAAGATGCTTCCCAGACGGCCCAAGAAGCCTCAAAGAAGCTTCAAGAGCGCTCCGAGAGGACCCCCAAGAGGGCCCACAGAGGCATGTTGTTTTTTCAATGTTTTCACGTTATCGCCTTTTCGAGCTTCCGACGCTCCAAGGCGACCCCCAGAACCCCCGAGATCGCCCCAAGACCAGCCATCCAAGATGGGTCTGGAGGTGGAGCTATCCACTCATATTGTTCAGCAGCTTTTATTGACTTTCTCAAGCAGGGAATGGCATATACGGACTTTTTCCATTGGAAAGATGATAATTACTTCTTGCCGCGCGGGCCGATTTTCTGCCCGGGAATGCCGCCAGAGGGGCAACGCCTACGCTCGGCAGATGAAGGTGTGCAAAATGAGGAGCACATGCGCACGGCGCTGGAAGAATTACAAAAGGCAGCGCCGACCAAGGCACCGAGCGGCTTAGCCGTTTCGTGGTTCGGCCTTGAGCGGCCTGGCCGTCCGGGCCACACCGCGCCACTGAGCGGCCCAGCCGTTCCCAGTGGAGCCGCCGCGCCCAGCGGCTCAGCCGCCTCGGGCAGCGACGCAAATACGCGGGCGGCTCAGCCGCCCAGCAGCCCCCTTTTGGCGCCGGCTACGGGCTTTCAAGAAGCCCAAACGCCTGGTGAAGCAGCGGGGGATCTTCTTCGTAAGAAATGCCCCGCGGGAAGGTCAACCACGCCCAGTGGCAAACACAAGTTCCCACAACGTCTGAAAGAAAATGGTGACCCCAACCGTGACGAGGATTGGGAACTTGATTGGCCCTATCATTTGCCATATCAAAAGACGAAGAAGTTGCATTGTAGAAGTGCGACAGGGCCAGATCTTGTTGAGTATGATTTTCTCCGACCGTTTACGGTCGCGAGCGGCAACCTCCATCGGGGCATGATGCCTGGGAACACGTACCCAGGCGAGGAAGGCCGTGCTGCAGAGGTTGCACAAGGGAAGCTTCCGCCCCGAAACCAGCAGTTCAAGATGGTTCAGAGAACCGCGAATGGGGAAGCGTGGTTGGCTTTTCAGTTGTTGCAGAAGTCAACGAGAACCCCACCTCTGGAACCAAGTTGTGTGATTCCGAACTGGGCACGCTTCCTCAGGATCAAAGCCGACCGGTCAAGGGCAGACCCAGCAGCCACTGTTGCTGATCGTTTGAATTTGGCTAAGTTGTCGGCGAAGATCCACAGAGCGGGCCTCAGCCATTGCGTTGATTTCTCGTTGCCTTTCTTCGTGAAAGATTAGAAGCTTGCGGAGGTCCAAGACCCATCCACAGGCTGGTCCAAACAATCGCATGGCACGTCCGTGACTGCCCTTCACGCAATATTGGAGGGCCACCAATTGCTTCCTTCCGACCCCAGATACGGAGGTAACGTCAAGGCGAATAAGGTTGGAGTGTACTCCTTTCCATGCGTTGATAACCCTCAGACGCACACGACGCATTCCGTTGCAGAGGAGACCTTTGGAGATGGTATCTGGATTACTGCGGAGATTGTTTTCTTCGCGAAAGACCCAGCCGTCATCAAAGGAAGGCCGGCGCAATATGTTGGCGACCCAGCCGGGGGCGTATTGCGCGAACTTAGACTATACCGTTGCCCTCCGGCAGCGCTTCATGTCACGCCAGCTTATGTGCACTTGCAACCTGTTGCCATACAGAAGGGTTGGAATCAGGAGCAAGATTTCGAGGTCGAACGATATCGAGACGAAGATCGGACGAATGCCACGGACAAAGTCCGGGAGGCACAGAGAGAGTGGGTTCTAAATTTAGAATAAATTGTTTGGCAGAAGGGACTAAGTCCATACTTTGAAAATGAGACTTTCGATGATATTTGGCCATGGCTCCAACAGAAGGGAGTCAGGCTAAACAAGATTCATCCATTGCACAAAGATGAGGCATCGGAGGTATCCACGAAGCTTGTTCAAAAGAATAAAGAAGAGGAATAATAAATGAAGATGACGGCTGAAGCAAAACAGGAGACGCCGGCGGCACAGCCGTCCGGCACACAGTTTTCGATCGAGGCCGAGAACTTCCCGAATTTAGGGCAGGCTGCATCGCGCAGCGTTCAAGCCTCCGCCCCCGCGGGCAGAGGCTCGGCCCTTGAATCCTAAGGCCGACGCACCTGCGAAAGTGCCGACGCCCCCTCCTCCTCCAAAGGAGGGGTTGCCCAAGGAAGTGCCCAAAGAGGAAGCTCCGAAGAAAGCTCCACCACTACTTTATGCA